CAGAAAGAAAACACATTTTCATACTGGGTTTGAGGGATATGCAAAGGGAACTGGAGGCATGAGTTTCTTAAAACAAATTAAAAAGCTCTTTAAAACAAATTAAAAGTAAACATTCATTTTATTGGATCAATGCCAACCATACTAAGAATCAGGTGTGTGGTTCAAGCCAGATTTCCAGAGATTCCATAAAGTTGCTATGTAAATTTGGGTAGATCCCTTTCCCTCTCTAGGCCTCTGTTTTCCTTTCTGTAACTCAAGGATTTGAGGCTAACAATATTGGAAGTAAAGTGACAATATAACTTATCATCCAAACTGAGACATTACTAACAATCATGCTGTGACAACAGTCTGAGGAAATGGGGATGTATGGTTACTCTAAGGGTCACCTTGCAGCTTTGTCTCTCTCTGATTATATGATACTACTAGTGGGCCAATAGAAAAAATAAATCCAAATTATTTAATTCTAGTATCCCAGAATAAATGTTTGGCTCTTAGACTGCTACAAGAACTGTGATGGCACCAAGCCAATAAATTGGAACCTTACTATTTGAAGGGAAGGTGCCCTCAAATATACTACATTAAACACTTACAAAAGGCAATGGCAGGGGCTGGGGTTGTGGCTCAGTTGTGGAGTGCTTGCCTAGCATGTGTGAGGAACTGAGTTCAATTCTCAGGACCAGATATAAATAAATAAAATAAAGGCCCATCAACAACTAAAAAAAATATTTTTTAAAAAGGCAATGGCAGAATTAATAACATAAGGTTTCCTGCTCCTTGGATATCCCAGCTTCCCTGGGAATAACGTTTGAGACTTAGGGACTCTTAGAAATGGAAAAAGTCCTTGAGATCATCCAGTATTTTCTTTTTCATTTTAGACCTTTGATCATCATTTCAGATGAACTTCTCAAAATTTAATATGTATAATTGAAAAGAGCAAAGTAAATCTGATTGAAGGACAAAGGAAATGCAGGTATAGACATAAAATCCTAACTCACTGGACTTTTCTTATATTCTCCTCTCTAAAATCCTAGAGTTCAGCAATACACAATATAACATTTTAACCTGATAACAAAACCACCAGGCTCAATCTGCCGAAGTGGATTTCAATTTAAATTTGTGGATGGTTGCTGCATGCCTCTGGCCAAATGCATATCTTCATGTTACAGAGAGGCAGAAGAAGAACAGTAGGAAATCCAGTAGAAATTGAGGAAACATCTACAAAGTTGGAAAAAGACTTCAAAATGGAAAGTCTGGGGCCACCAAAAACAAGGAATATGTAATGAACCTTGAATCCCTACACCATTCAGTTCACCAAGCCCCTGCCCCCACTTTGCATTCCCTGAAGAGATTCAGCATTCTTTCCTTTTGTAACCTTGACAGAAAGGCAGGAAGTTCAATAACTTAATTTCAGCTGAATGTTGAAGATTACATCATTTTCCCATTCTGGTAAGAAGCTCCTTAGTTTCAGTAAAGAAAAGTGTTTGATTTTTTGAAAGTTTCCAATTAGAAACCTTTATCAAAACCACCATAAATCAGATGTTTCTTCCTATCATCCTGAGGAAAGCACTTACCTTTGAGAACCAGCTAACTTTTGTCTTGGCCTTTTGAATTGGTACAGGGTCATACCTGATGGTACATAATATCTATAGGTTCCACAAGTTTTTGCTCCACAAACTGTTCTGAACTGATCCCTGATAATTTTATTTATTAACTTCTTTTCTTCCCTCAATCCTTAGTAAACTCTATGTATATTGAGCAGTTGATACTTTATAGAATCATAGAATCCTTGCTAATATAAAATCTATTTGAGATCACACTGATCTTCATCTCTGCTCCCACAATAGCTTCCACCTTTACTCTTCCCCATCATAGTTAAAGAACCTAATATTGACTCATAGTTTGACCAGACAATAAGAATATAAGATTTTTTCTTGGATGAGGTCTCTTGTCCTCTAAATTTCATCGAGCCATAATTAAATAAAATTATATCAAGAGAAGATGATTGTTACAGAGAATATTCAGAATCATGTTATATGAGAAGAATTGAAGGGCCTAGGATAGATTAGTCTACAGTAATGAGATATATTTAAATATCCTGAGGATTATCACAGGGAAGATATAGGAACTTTGTGCATTGTAAAATTTGTGCTCTTTCTGAATAATCCCAGTGATCTCCAAGTCAGCCCATTTAATTTGGTGCAGCCAAAATGGTCAGAATATTCTTGCATGTGAAAAAACCCTTTAGGTACTTGTAGACAAATTTCAAACTCCTTTTACAATTCATCTCCTTGGACATTTTTTTTCTAGCTAAATATATGAATATCCTTTGTTCCTTATAAAACAACTTACCAAGAATACTCTCCATCCTGTTTAATCTCTTCTTTAAACACTGTAGTCTGTCAGTGTCCCACAGAAAAATGTGAGACCCAAGTCAGACTACAGTATGACAAGATAGGCTGACCAATGAAGAAAAAAGTGCAACTAATAGTTCAGACACTATTCAGTTAATCTAAACTAATCTAAAATGTGTTACCTGCCTATAAATTCAGCACAATGATATAAATTCAAAATAAACCCCCCAAAATAACTTTTCAAACCCCCATGTCTATAGGCCATGTCTTCCTCATTCTGTCTTTAAAGAATAATTTACCCTTTGTATTTTCTTTTTTGGACAGGGTGTTCCCAAAGTTAAGTGTTTACATTTGAGCTTATTAAAATTCATATTGTTCTTTTGTGTCCTAATTATGTAATTGACTCTATTTCCTTTCTACTTTTAGTTTGAATATTTGCTTATTAGTATAATTGATATAATTCTCATATGTAGCATAAAAATATGGAAGAGAATGAGGCCAAAATCAAACTGTATTTTTCTTCTTTAGATGTTGTCCTCAAGACACTCTGCTTTAAAATCTTATGGCTTGTGTACCCTCTAATCAGACAATTCTATGGTTTGTGTAGCCTCTAATCAGACATCATTCCAAACATTTGCAAATTCTCCTAAATCCAATCTCCAAATTTCTCCATCCTTCCAAGAAAGATAGGAAAATTAACTACCCAATGTCTTCAGCAGCCCCAAAAATCTATGTTTCCAGGATTCCCTTTTGTTTAGACAATATAAATCACATTTTTAAAAGAAACTGAACTATTATGGCAAGTCCTATCCACAGGAAACCAACACAAGTTCTAATGATTATGGATTCCTCCTCTAAAAGCTTTCAAAATCAATGTGTCTACATTTTATTCCAAAGGATAGCCTTCAACAGGTATTTTTTTTCCTTCTTTTTCAAAGATAAGACTACAGTCACCCTCTCTAGATGTGTGGCATCCCTAGGAACTGTTTTCATAGGTTCTAAAGTTTTACCCATAAGTTTCCTTAGTACCCAGGGAAACCATTCTTTTAGCTGGGAAATTTTTTACCCAATTCTGGCAGAAAAATATTCTCTTTCCATCTTTAAAACATGGAACATTTTATCTATTTCCTACCAATATTTACTTTACTTTGTTTGCTCTTTGTTCTCCTGACAATGAAGATGGAAGCCAAATAAAAGTATGCACTTCTGTTTTTCTAATTAAAAACCAAGGCCTAGAGAACAGAAGACACACAGTGAATTTGCAGCACAGCTAAAAGGAAAGACCAGTTTTTCAAACAACCACTACTCTTCCCATTCTACAAGATAAAAAGTTTTGTTTAATAACTAACATAACTTACCATTATGTTGTAATTAATTACCTCAAAGAATCTTTAGATGTTCAAAGAGTTAAAATAACTCAATCAAGGACACATACTGACAATACCAGATTCTGACTCCTGATGTAAGGCTAGAAAGGGTGAGAGAAAGCAATGAAAGTCCAACAAAAGAAAACTCAGTGCTGAAGGAAAATGCAAGTAGGAAATAAAAGATAAGCTATCCACATTTTCCAGTTGTGTCTACTACTGCCCACTGACTAGTCTATTGCATTGCAGGAACTGGCTGAGAGCCTATAGATGGAAAGCTTGGATCTGAGATTTTTCTGAATGCCTTGTCTGTCTGGAGAACTATAAAGGCAGCACAGCAAGCCATCTCCAACCTTCAGCAAAGGCAGGGACAGAAAGAGTATTATATCCCTTACATCCCTGCTGGTATCTTTAAGTATTTGACCCTGAGGAGCTTTGAGCATACCCATGGCTGGGAATGGTATGACAGACACCACATTCTGGAGGGTGGATTCACTTGCCTCTCTTTTACAGAGAAGAGGACAATGAATGAATCAAAAGCTAGTGCCTGCTTTTACTAAGGGCTTTGCTTTTCTTTTTCTAAGGTTTTTAGTATAATTTAAAACACATTGGGAGCAGAATGCCCTTGACAGTTGTAAACAGCAACACATCTAAAATAACTATCCAAAAAAGTAACCAAATTAAATCTTGACAATTCAGACTATCTTCTTTTCCCCTTTCTTTTCCTAGTTACACTTTCCAAAAGTCAATGCAAGAGTGCACATATGTCTTTTTACCTTTAATTATTCTGTTTTCTAAACTTTTAGGCATATAGTTCGCACACAACCTAGAAGTTCTGGGGAAAGGTCATTCTTGGTTTTGGAGTTAAGGCCAGATAATATAGAAGGGAAAGGTAAAGCTTGGGAAAAAAATGAAGAAATCCTCATCAGAGAAAAATTTTTGTTTTGATGTCTCACACAGTGTGTATTCCCTGAGAAGGAAGCAAGCTAACAACTACCAAACATTCCATGTGGAAAATTTGGGTACAAACCTGGCCACACTCACTCCAGGGACACTCAGTTGCCCACTCTGGATGCTTTGCTTCACTCTTTCACCCCTGACTGATACCTTCCAGCCATAATTATCTGCAGAACTGGGCTAGGAGGTCTGCCTAGCAAGCCACAGATCAGTGAAGATTCTTCATTCTCTCTCCAGTGCCCCTAATCTCTCTGTGTTGAGCTTTTGGGTTGGAGATCCAGCAGGAAACATGGATTCCCAGGCAGCTGAAAGGCACCACGTCACTTACCTGGAGTTTCAAGCAGGACAAGCAGGAAGCAGAAGGCCAGGGAACCATGGCACCTCACAAGCATCCTAGAATGCTGAGTGAGGGCAGAGTGGTGCTCTTGCTCCCTCCTATGTTGTCTCCTTCCTTGGTCCGAGAAAAAGGCAGGGTGTGGCAATCAAGAGTGTGCCCTCTCACTTCTCACCTCTGAACTCTGGCTCTACTGCTTCTCCCCCATACCTGAATTTTCAGTTCCTGGCTAGTTTCTTCCCAACAACTCTGAACCCCTCCAAGGGCCTCTAAAGATACCCAGCTGTTCTGAGTTAAGCACAGACTAGGAAATCTAGACAAGGACTGTTTCTCTCTGCCTTCCCCTACCTCCGCCCAGGCTCCCAGTTCCCTGATAACCTTTGATGGAGGGTGAGCTGTTGGGGTCCTCCGGTGCCTCTCCCTGCAAATGGCAACACTACAGGTGCTGCTCAGCTCTGAGGAGCTCCCAACTTTCTGCTGGAAAAAGTTGAGAGAAGGCAGCACAGAGTGTCCGTAGGGAGGAAGTTCAGACAGCCTGTCTCAAGACCGGGAAGGGGGGTGGGACATGCCTGAGGGGAACCTGGGGGAAGGAAGGCTTCCTGTTAAGTCAGAGGAGACTAGTGCAGCTAGCAGGGAGGGAGTACAGAATTGAGTGAGGGCCCTAGATATGAAAGCTGCTCTGACTTAGGGAGCGAGCAAGACATGAGGCGAGGTTTCCCTTCTCTCCTATGAAGAACTCACCAGACCCTCCCCCAGTATGACTTTCCTTTGACTGATAAGTGGGGCCTGATCCCAAGGAGTGTGGGGGCTTCTTTCATGAAGGACAAGAAACACAGACTTCAGCTAGAGTATGCTACAAAGGAGAGTTCTGGAGCTAGGTGGGCGTCAGCCTTCAGAGTCAGACGCTGCTGAGGTTGCTTGGAGGCTGAATTACTGAAATACAGATTTTTAGAGTGCTAGGAAGTGTGAGGCAGATGGGTATGGGAATTACAATTGAGTGGAGATCTTGTGTAAAAAAGGATGAAACTGAGGTTCATAGTGGTCATTCACCTTTCCCTAGGTTAATACAGAGGCACAGAGTGAATGCTGGAATGTGGAAGCCATATTTTTTTAACTTTTCATTCCCCTCTTTTCTCCATGAAGGCAGAGACTTGGGGTACATATGGAAAAAGAAGTAGAGTGAAATATCCACAAAACCTTCTGGGTAAATAGGGTTAAGCATGAGCTTACACTGTAATTGAATTGCCCTCTGCCTATCCTCCCAGGAAAACTGGAAAGAAAATCCAGGGGACCCCTTTAGTGTCCTCTTCCCCATCCTCACACCTCCACTGACCCCAGCTAGATTGATAGGATCAGAATTCTACTTCCCTCACCTTATTCCTTTTCCACAGGCTGCTGGCCAATAGAAACTAAAGCAGAGGAAGAATAAATAACTGACCCTACCTCATATAGCTAGGAAGTGGTGAGACCCAGACGCATACTCAGATATGTTTGATGCCAGACCCCAAATTCAAAACCATTAGATTATGCATGTAAAAATGCTTCACTAATGTAAGGGAGTAATAAAATCAGAAGCCCTTCCAGGGATTTCCAACCGAACCTTCCACGTTGTACACATCTGTAGAAACAAAAGTACAGAGAATGAAAATGACATATCCAAGATCACAGTGTTCACTCTCAAGACTAGAGCCTAGATACCAGGGTCTTTTTCATTTTAACATGCTTCACTTTCCATCATTGGCCCTCATAAAGGAAATAGTTGGACAGTAATCAATTCACTGGGAACCATTTTACAAATTTCCATTTTGGTGGTTACTCTACAAAGTGGTGGACACAAAGGGATTGGCTGAGAAGTAAGTGGTAAAGTTAGGAAGAACTTCAAAGAGAGCAGTCTTTTTATTATGTGCTCAACTTAGAGAAAACCTACAGGCAAAGTAGAACCCACCAGCAATCTCTTCCCCTCTGAGGGAAACTTTGTGATGGTATAAGAAATGCCCAGGCTAAATTAGCTGCCTTTTCTCTCTAGTTTCTTCTCCCCAGTTCCCAAGATGTCTGTCTTACTTGTGGAATTATAAGAAATTAAATAATTGGGGTTGTAATTGCAGCTCAGCAGTAGAGAGCTTGCCTACCACATGTGAGGTACTGGGTTCGATTCTCAGCACCACATATAAATAAGTAAATAAAATAAAGGTCTATAAACAACTAAAATATTTTAAAAGAAAGAAATTAAATAATTGATCATAAAAAGTGAATAAATAAATGTGGTATGAGAATAAATGGAAAGCTATGACAGGCCCAAATGACATCTCTAGGAGATCCAAATAGCTATCCCAGAACCAAGAAGAACCTTATCTTTAACCCCAAGAGATGTCCTAGGCTATGACTGTAAAAAGGCATTTCAAGATGGCACTCAAAGTAGGGAAAATTTGGAAGGTTGGTGCCATAGAGATAATGATAAAACTCATGCAGTTGAACTGTTTTAAGCACTTGGCCATCAAGAAGAAAGCAAATAGTGAAGTATTTCTGTAACAATAACCATTTTTAAATTGAAAATCTCAATGACCCTTCTAATTTTGAGTAACAGCCCTTTATTTAAAAAATCTTTCCTGAGCAACTCCTAATTTCCAATACTAGTCCTAGTTATCACTCTAATGATCTAGAGATGAACATGATACAGTGTTTACCCTGGAGATGCCATACAGTAGAAGATATAGACATGTAGCAGGTAAAGCTAGTTGTCCAGAATTTTTTCTGCCTTCTTACACAATAATAAAGGTTTAGCATGGCACATAGCATCACAGAATAAAACTACATTTCCCAGTACCTTATGTAGCTTGGGGAGCTGTGTAAACAATTTTAGGACAAACAGATGTGAACACTGATGCATGCAAATATGAAGTCATGCCATAAAAGAAAGAAGTCTGCCTTCCTCTCTTTCCCTTTCTGTCTAGCTGCTGAGCTGTACTGATGAGTCATTCAGATGAGAGAAAACCCCTAGAGATGGTAGAGCCAAAAGATGAAACAATGAACTATGGGGAAAGTCACCCTACTAGCCCTGGACTGTTTATGGCTAAAGCAGGGTTTCATAACAGTGTCTTTATTGATATTTATGTTGGATACTTCTTTGTTGTGGATTGTAAGCTATTCATTATCATTGCAGACCTCTAACCACTAAAGGTTAGTAGAACTTCCACCCTTCATTCCTTCATCTCCCTTTCCCCCATCCTGACTTGTGACCTTAAATCATCCCTGAGTGATAACCACTGGCCTAGAGATATATAGAGATATAAGATATAAATTCAACTTCTTTCTTATTTAAGCAAGTTTTAAGTTTGGCTACTGAACCCATGTCCAAACTACTAGAACCTTATAAATGTATCATGACAAGACAATATGGTGGGTGGCACATTCTTCTTTGAAATTACAGGTCTGGTGCTTTCTGCAAAACTGAGGCAGTACAGATACTCCCCCTTAAGACCCTGATTCTTGCAATCATGCCAGAAAGATTTCAGATGTGTCACTCAGAGTAGCATGCATGAATTTATTAGAAGGGATAAGAAAGAAAAAAAGGGGACACTCTCAAGGGGGAAAATGGGTCCTCTCAGAGAAGAGAGAAACAACATGCCTCTACTGCCATCCAGTTTTTGGGGGAGTCCCATGGAAATTTCTAGAGACTCCTATCAGGTCCACCTCTTGACTTTTGACTGACAGAAGGATAACATGACACATTCAAGTCCCCACTGTCATGACAACTCTAGGTCACTTTAGCCCATTCTAACCAGTTCTAATTAGAACCTGTTCTTAAAGATTATGTGGTTACAGCTGGTTGCGGTAGCACATACCTATAATCCCAGCAGTGCATGGCTGTAATCCTAATGGCTCAGAAGGCTGAGGCAGGAGACTCACAGTTTCAAACCCAGCCTCAGCAATGTAGTGAGGCTGTAAGCAAAGTAGTAAGACCCTGTCTATAAATAAAAAATAAAAAGGGTTGTGGATATGGCTTAGTAGTTAAGCACCCCTAAATTCAATCCCCAGTACAAAAAAAAAATACAAGTACAGGGTTAGGAAGAATTATCTTTATCTTCCTGAGTTCTGGAATCTGGATCTGGTCTGTGTAAGAATCATAAAATCTCCCACTTCAGGGTAACGTGTTTTCTTCTTATCATATGCATTTAAGGCCTTCATTTCTTTTGTAGATAATAGGTAGTTTGCTAAGGATGTAACATATCTTGTCAAATTAAGCCAGGCAGGGTTACAGGTAAATCAGTTTTGAAAAGAGAAAACAGAGCTGGTTTTGTGGCTCAGTGGTACAGCTCTTGTCTAGTACATGTGAGGTACTGGGTTTGATCCTCAGCACCACATAAATATATAATAAATAAAATTAAGTTAAAATAAACAAATAAAAGAGAAATCATGTGAGGGTCAGCACAGTAAGCCCAGTTTAGGAGATTCATTCCCTTAATTTCATGTTTCTACTACCCATGTCTGTCTGTTCCCTATCAGAAGGAAGCAAAATAAAGTAAATATTTTTAATATGATAATATTAAAGTAGAGGGATTCATGAAGTGTTGCCTGAGGAAGCAGGCATTTTAAGTCATTTGGGTTGCTATAACTAAATATTGTAAACCAATTGAAAATTTATTGTCCCCTTTCTGGAGGCTGTTAAGTACAATATTAAATCAACAGCATATTCAGTGTTTGCTGATGACCTATTTGCTCACTCAAAAAATAGTGCCTTCTCTCTGTGACCTCACATAGTGGTAGGGAAACACAACTCTCTGGGTCCTCTTATATAAGGGCAGTAATTCCATTCATAAGTGTGGAACCTAATCACCTCCCTAATGCCAACACCATCATCTTGTGTTTCAACATTTGCATGATAACAAATGCACAAACCTTCAGATCATTTCATCTGAGAAAGTTTCAAAGTGGACATGGTCTTTGAACTAGGGTTTGAAGACTAAACAGTAAAGAAAAGTTCATCAGGTAAAAGAAGAGTGAATGCAAAGGCAAAGAAACTTAAATTTCAAGATATATCAAGGAAATTTCAGAAGATGGGAAATAAACAAGTGGTTCTCAACCCTATATTGTTCATTGGAATCACCTGGGGAGATTTAAAATGTATTTATATCTAGAACCCACCCTAAACAAATTATATGAGAGTCTCTGTGTTGGTCTGGGACATTGCTTTTTCTTAGAAACCTAAGTATAAATGAGGTGTGAAGTGAAAAATAGATGGAAATGAAGCTAACATATTAGGATGGAGCCAAACTAGGCAAAAATGGAAATTTTAAAGCAAAAGAACAAACAAAAAAGGGAAAATAATTTTTTTAAGGCTGTTCACACTTGGCACAGTGGAACACAGGGACTAAGGAGAGATGATACTTCAGGAGGCTGAAGCAGCAATCTAGGTTAAGAGAAGCCATATCAGAGAGTCATTTTTAAGACTGAATCCACATAACTTAGTGAAAAATTAGAAGTATCTAGTGAGAGGTAGATACTTCAGAGAAATAGTAAAGAATGCAGAGAAAT